GCGCAACAGCAGCTGCCGAGGCTGGGGGCATTGACGACAGCCCAGGCGCAGAGACGGCGGCCGCGGCTGCTGCGGGGTCGGGGGCGCGTGCTGTCGCGGCCACCGGCACCTCCACTGCAGCGGTTGCCACAGCTGGCACGTCGGGCGGCTGCATCGATTGCAGCGCTGACGTCGGTGCTGCAAGGCCAGCGGGAGAGGTGCCCGCGGCCTGCGGTGTTGTTCCATCCGCAGCCGGCCCAGGGAGGCAACTCGCCACTCCGCTTGCGGACAACTGCCCGGCACCTGCTTCGCGTGTGCTGCCTTCGAGCCTAGGCTGTGGGGCTTGCGAGCGAAGCTGGCTCGCCACGCCGGTCGATGGACGAGGGGCGGGCGCCCGCTCGCTGTTTGGCTGCGAGCGCTCGGTGGTCTCCGCGCCTGCAGCAGAGGCAGCTGCCGACGTGCCCTGTGGCATGGCCTGCAACGCCTGGGCGGGCGGCTCGCTCACCTCGGCACTCGGCGCGGAGCTGTGGGGGGCGCCGGACCGCATCTGGCCAGGCCGCGGAGGCGATGCGTCCCCTGCGCGGTACCGCGACGGAGCTGGAGGGAGGGATGTTGTGGGAGGGGTTGGGGACCTCAGACCCATTGAAATCTCCGTTGGAGAGCCCGGCCCGTCAGCGCCGCCCGGTCTTCTGAGGACGCCGGCCTCGATGCGGCGACCGGCAGCGGCCAACCGGCGCGCCGCGGCCGCAGGCAGTCCCGCAGCGAGGAGCCGAGGAGGGTCCTGCGCCGCCGTGGCCACCTCGTCCATGGTGGATATGCCTGCCTCTGCCAGCGCGTCGGCAAAGCGGCTCATACTCAAGGCAGCCAGCAAATCCGGTACTGACACGATTTCGCCGCCGCCGGTCGGCTCTCTGCCGGCCGGCTCCCCGGGCTCCGTCGAGGCATTGCTGGAGTCTGACCCTGCGGCAGGGGCCTCGTGATCGAGGGCAGCCGGTGCCTTCAGCCGAAGGTTGGGCCCTGTGCCACCGCTGTCACCGAACGAGACACGCCGGTCAGGGGCCTTGGCTGCGGCGGGCGGCTGGCTTTGCGACGCCGCTCCGGCAAGCTGGCCCCCCTTGAGCGCGCTGGCAGGCGCTGCGCGCTTCCCCTCCGATGACAGGAGAAAGCTGGTCCCAGACGCGGTCACAGGGCTGTTGCTGTTGCCAAAACTGGTGCTGATGGCGTCTGCACGCGCGGCCGCGCCTGCGGAGGGCGCTTCGCTGACCCCACCAGACCCTGATGTCGATGCGCCCGCCCTGCTGACTTCACGAGTGGGTTCCGGCGCGTCGCAGTCGTCCAGCTCTGCCGGGGGCGCCGCCAGGTCGGCTGCGTCGCAAGCTCCCGAAGCGGGTTCCGGGCCATCGCCGTGGGGCAGGTCCTCCGGCGCTGGCTCAGCCATGAGGCTTGATCGTTCGACTGGGTGGGCGGACTGGATGGCCGCAAGCGCATCGTGCAGGACCGCGGCGCGCGCTGACGCCGCTCGCGCTGCGGATACAGGTTGCGCCTGCGCGCCCGCTGGCTGCGCGGCATCGGCAGCGTCCGCCAATGCAGCCCCGAGGAGGTTTTGCGTCAAAAACATGCAGAGGGCCGCCTTGCTCGCTGCGGCGGGGTGCGGCACGGGAGATTCACCCAATCACGAATCAACCAGCAGTTGCTTCCGCGCGGCAGCGCGCGCGCCGGCCCCCAGCTCCCCCCCACCCTCCCCCAACGCGTACCTGCGGCGTGAAGAGCTTGGGAATAGGAAAGCCTGGCGCGCACAAGCGCTTCAACGGCTATATCTCACTCTCGCGAGGGTGGGCAGCGCTTGCTAGCTGAGAGATGGACGAGACGAATCCTGCAAAGGTCAGCAGCTGCCTCCCATCCGCGGCCCCTTGGGACCACGCGCTCCATGCGAGGTCGACGACCTCCTCGGGAAAGACGACACCTCTGCAGGACTTGAGAAGGAACTGGAAGCCCGAGCGACCTGCGGCAACCGAGCAGGCAGAGCGGGGCCGGAGGTCGCACGTTGACCGGCAGCGCCCAGGCCGGCGGGAACGCGGTGGCCAGCAGCAACGGGCAGCGCAGTATGCGCGATGCAGCAGGCTGGGGGCAAGCAAGCGTGGAGGGTCCGGGCAAGCACCGGCGGTGCGGGCGTGGGCGAGTCCTGAGCGCGATCAAGCTGGCGCGAGCAGCGGCTGCGGGCGCCGGTGCGCGAGTCACTGGCTCACTGAGCACTCCTGCTCCCTCGGAAGGGTGGGACATCGATGTGAATCGGCCGAACTTGGCCTGGAGCGCATCCTGGAGCCTGGCGCCCAGGCCCTGGGCGCCAGTAGCCGGGCTCGCGGTCGCGGCCCCACCGGTCGGCGCGGTGGACGCCGTGCTCGCGGACGAGCTGGCCATTGCAGCCAACGGCGCGGGCAGTGCCGCTCCGGAATCCGAGCAGCCTTGCGCCTGCGGGCGGTACGCTTGCCGGTCGGTGGTTGGGTCTCGCAGCCATCTGCGCCACCGGCTCTGCACCGTTGCTCATGTCATCGGGGGCGCGCCATTGCAACAGCCGGGGCAACCCCTCTCCGCAGTCCGGCGCCGCAGCACCCTCCGACCGCAGAGTCCTCGAGCCGAGCGGCCGACGGGCTCTCCTCCAGACGGGAGCAACCCTCTGCTCGCATCCGCAGCGCAGCCGCGAACAGGAAGGGAAGGATGAGCGGCGAGATCAAGGCCAACTACCAGCGAGCAGGGTACCTGCACAAGCTGCCGATGAGCAAGTGAGCCTTGGCCCAAGGCGCCAGCGCCACGTTGCTGAGGGCGTCGTGGCAGCTTGGCTCGGCCGGAGACGAAGCGAGTTGCGGACTCTTTGCGGACCAGCGGTCTCGCGAAGGCTTGAGGTCGCTGCATTTCGCGGGTTCCCGTTGCGATCGTCCCAACCGGGGCTCCATCGGGTGGTGGGGGACGGGGCGTGGTCGCGCTCGCTTGAGGGGGGGCGGGCAGGAGGGCGGGCTCGCACCAGTCCCGGGCAGCACCGTCGGCGAGGGGCGTCACTGCGCATGCGGCAGCAGCCGCACCGGCGGCCTTCGTGCGACGTGTTCTGCGCAAGTCACACGGCCGTTCGCGCCGCCCAGCGTGCGTGGTCGCGAGCCGCATGGTGGCAGCGATTCGCTGTGCTCCAACTGTTGCCAGCCATGGCGACCGAGGGCGCTGTCCGCGAGCGTGACGGCTGTTGTCGGGAGTCGCGCACTCCGGTTGCAGCGGGTCGCCGGCAGCGGTGTCCTCAATTGCCGGAAAAGATGGCCGCTGCGGTCCAAGACGGCCCCCGCCACTCGTGTGGTATGACATCGTTGCGTCCTGTCCCCCTGCCCTCCCCTCTGTGGCTCGCAGACCCACGTCGGAGAGGTGGCAGAAGCGGCTGTTTGTGGCGAAGGACGGCTTCTTGTTGTACTACGCGCCCTCCCAGTCGCCCACAATGGCGCACTTTGACACCAAGCCTAAAGGAGTGGTTCCTCTCGGGGGCTGCACCGTGGAGCTCGTCGAGCGCGGCCCGGCGAAGACGACGTTTGGGATTCGCCTGCAGCACCCTGACTTTTACGCTGGGCGGGCGCTCGTTCTCGCGGCTGCAAGCGCTGAGGAGCAGGCCGCGTGGCGAGACACTCTTCAGAACTGCTCGCGCGTGACCATGGAGAACGCGCTGCTCGGCGACTCCATGATCGACCGCCTCAAGGCCGAGGGCACAGCCGCGGCGCAAGGCAAGGAAGAGGAGATGCAGCGCCTCAAGGCAGAGGCACTGCGGCTCCGGGCCGAGAAGGAGGCTTTTGAGAAGAAGCTCGCGGAGGCAGCCGAGGCGGAGGCGGGAGGCGCTTCTGCGGCAAAGGCAAAGGCTGGCGCTGCTGCTGCTGCCGAGGCTGCCAAGCGCGCAGCGGAGGAGGAGCAGAAGCGGAAAGCGGCCGAGGCGGAGCTGGAGCGCCTCCGGACGGAGCGCGAGGCCGAAGCCGACGAGCAGGCCCGCCAGCTCGCCAAGCTGGAAGCGGACCTGGAGGCTGCTCGCGTCTCTGCCGGCGATGGCGGCGCAGAGGCGGTCGCGGCTGCCGAAGCCAAAACAAGGGAGCTCGAGGCCGAGCGCGTGCGCATGCTAGCCGAGGCGGCGGGCCTCAAGGAGCAGGTCGTGTCGATGGCTGCCTCTCACGAGGACCTGGCCAAGCAGCTCGAGGAAGTGTCACAGCAGAGCCGTGCCCTCAAGGAGGAGACCAAGGCTAAGCGCAAGCTGGAAATGCGCCTGCGCGTGGCCGAGGCGTCGGTGCGCAAGCTGGACGACGCGCTTCGCCGCGGCGGCCACAAGCTCGACGTGGATGTGTTCGGCGACGTCCGCACGCTGCTGAGCTTCTTCGAGGAGCGCGTGGAGACGGCCAAGCGGGACGCCCAGCGCACCGAGCTTATCAAGCAGGCCCTTCAGGCCAAGCGCCGGTTCATCATGGGCAAGGGCCTCGTTGACGCTGACAGCAGCTCGTCGGAGGACGAGGCCGAGCCCGCCGGCAGCGGCGCGGCCACTGTCGAGGACGAGGACGGCTGGGGCGACGACGCACCCCAAGCGGCCGCTGCCGCTGCCTCCTCGGGGCCGGGCGCGCAGGCTGCAGTCGCCGCTGCCCCACCTGCTCCGGAAGACGACTGGAGCAGCGACGAGGAGGGCGCTGCTGCTGGAGGCGCTGCTCAGACTGGCGACGCAGACGATGACGACAGCGACTGGTGACTTGTTGGTGCCGCCAGCCATCAGGCTGCTGGGCCCCGCCGCCCTGATGCACGTTGGGCTTGGAGCCTATTGTGATCTGTTGGCATTCCCAGGCAACCACGTATTTTCATTCGCTGCAGTGCTTTCAAGCCACCTCCCTGCTCTCAGCTGCGACATTCCGACCTCCACACGACGCCGCAAGCGAACGCAGGCAGAACCACTCAGTCATTAAAACTGGGAGCGTTGCGTATTAATTTCCAGATGCAATTCACTCCATCCCGGACACTGAGGCCTTATAGTTTAGTGGTAATGACGTCGCACTTTGACTGCGAAGACCCCGGTTCGAACCCGGGTATGGCCTGCCTTTTTTTCTTCTTCTTTTTGCAGTTGGTACGTGCTGTCGGTCGACGTGCCACGCCCCCTCCCCGATGCGCCCGAAGCAAAAACCTGCGGCGTGGCAGCCTTGGATCTGGCAGCCTGCAGGGCGGACGAGGTGCCGCTGCGGCGCGTGGCGCGCCGGCGTCGGCCCGCCGGGGTTGTGTTGCGCTCCCGGTGTGCGGCTCTGCCAGGCTTTCTGTGCCACAGAACCGCCCCTCACCACCCTGCGAGGCCTGGCGCCGCAGATCGGCACTTGCGGCCGGAGCCATGGCCACCCAGACGACTCTCACGGCAATGACACGCCGGAAGCGACGGTGAGCTCCCATGACCGCGAGCAGCAGCGGCTGCGAGAGGCGCGATGCAATCAATTTGAATCTTCCGCCCGAGTGCCGCTCCACCAGTCCGGCCAGGGGGTGCATCGAGCGAGAATTCGCCCTGGAATCATGAGAACAGCCGACGCGCCCCTCGCTTGCTGGTGCCCCGACCCACCAGAATGGCCTGGGGGCGCAGACGCGGGTCGGACTCGTCGGTGCATGTGCCTGAGTTTGGCTCGTTGCCCCGAGTGTGCGCTGGGCGTTCGCAGGACCTGTGATGATGACGTTCCGGAGCGGCCGATCGGCATGTCCGACCTGGACGATAGCATCGTTAGCGATGATGGGCCAGGCGCGCTGCCCATGAGGCAGGTGTCGCCTCGCCGCGTCGGCGCTTCTCAGGCGTCCGTTGGCTCGCTGGGCATGTCCCGGCTTCGGCTGTCGCCGGCCAGAGCCAGGAGGGCTTCTTCCGACGCGTCGCCGCCCTCTGGCGGTGGCCTCGCTGGGAGGCCGTCGCTGCGCCGGGCCCTTGCAGCAGCGCGCGAGCGCTCGCGAGGCCCCGACTCCACGCCCACAGCGCCGCCCGTCCCCGCCTCTGCGTCGAAGCGGGCCAGAATGACACTTGGAGTGCCCGGTCCCCCTTCGTCGTCCGGCGATGGAGCGTCCCCGGACAGCCAGCAGGCCGGCGGCCGTGCCGGCATGCGGAGCTGGGCAGGTCAACCGAGGCAGAACGACTCCCGAGGCAAGCCAGCTGGGCCTCCGGCATGGGCCACGGAGGCAGTGGGTGCTTGCGGGGCAGACTCGTCCCCTGGGTCCACCTGTGGAGCCTCCAGGCCGGCGTGGGCGGCGCCCAGCAAGCCGCTGGTGGCCTCGCCTCCCACGCCAGCCCGCCCCGACTGCGATGGTCGCCCGCTGAGTGCAAGGCTGGCGTTTGTCTCAAGCCCGCCAGGTGCCTCTGCTGCAGCGGCCAGGGGCGGTGCTGGGCGGTCGCCCTGTCTGCCGCTTGCTTCTGGCGGACCTCTGGGCGATGCTGCCGCATCTGGGCAGGAGCCGAGCTGCCGGGCGCGCCCAGGGAGGAGCGCGACCGCGATGGACAAGACCGCAGGTGGCGCCGGGGCCGGGAACAGCAGCAGCAGCAGCAGCAGCAGCAGCAGCAGCAGCAGTGCCCGCGACCAGGTTGCCTCTCGGCACGTCGCAGACGATTCGCCGGCAGTGAGGCGCGCCAAGCTTCCCATGTCCCAGAACCCTCTGCTGGAGGTGCCCGACGCTGCTTCTGCTGCCAGGTTTGCGGACCGGCGGCGCAGGAGGCTGCGGCGTGACGTCGCGGGGCGCTCTGGCAGCAGCGTGGGACCGGACGGCAGGGTGTCCATCTTCGCGATGCAGTTTGAGGAGATCGGCTTCGCTGGCAGGGGCGCGTTCTGTGAGGTGGTGCGCGCTCGGTCGCGCGTGGACGGGGTGACCTACGCTGTGAAGCGGGCTGTGCAGCAGAGGCAGGGGGACGCGGAGGCGGCGGCAGACTTGCTGGCCGAAGTGCACGCGATGGCGGCAGTGGGGCGGCACGAGCACCTGGTGGGTTACCACTCCAGCTGGAGGGAAGCTGCTCCGCCGGGGGGGGGGCATGGGCAGTTGTGCATCCAGCTGGAGCTTGCTTGGGGCACGCTTTTAGACGCGCTGGTCGGGCGCAGACAGCCGACGGGGTCTGGCTTGGGCGATGAGGGATGCGATTCCGACGCAAGGTCTGCGGGCGATGACGATGCCGCAGAGGGAAGCGGGAAGCAAAGCCGGTGCTCAAGACAAGCGGCCGGGCGTGCCTATGCAGTGGCGGCCCGCGCCGTGGTGCCGTCTGCCCCGCCCTCCGTCCTCAAGTCTAAGCATCGCTCCGTCTCGCGGGTGGGGGCGGGCAGGGAAATCGCCGGAGCAGCGAGAGGGCTCGGGGCGGCTGGGTCGACTCTGGCTTTCGGCTCCCCTCCCGTCGGTGGGACGGCGTCCCAGAGCTACGGGGACGACGAAGACGACTACGGCGATGATGATATCGGAGTGGCGCGGGCGGGAGCGCGCTTGGCTGCTCCCGTTGGGGGACTTGGGCGCCAGCTCTCGTTCGCGTCGCAGGAGAGCGCGTTCACTGACAGCGGGAGCGGATTCGGCCCCGGCGAGAGCGGCGTGGCCGCCCTTCGGTTCGGCGCCGTGTCGGAGGATGGTCCTCTGGCAGGCCGTGGCGACAGCGCGCAAGGTGAGGGTCGCCCCGCCGAAGCGTCGGGGCAGTCTGGCCGGGTCCGTGCTCGCGGGCCCGAGGGCGATGACGATGGCGATCTGGATGATAGTCCGCTGCACCCGCAGCGCAGGACAACCAGCCCGCGGCGTGGTCCTCCTGCAAGCTCGCCAGTCGCCGACCGGTCCTCGGGCCGGGCTGCTCGGGCTGTGCCTCGATCGCCGGGCACTCCCTCCGGTGGCCCGGTTGCGAGGGCGCTTGCCTTCAGCCCAGGCTGTTCCCCCTCGGCGGCAACGGGTCCAGTGCGGTCCAATGGCTCGGCTGGCCCATCTTGCAACGACGCCGAGTCGAGCGATGATGACGATGGGGAGGTGTCGGCACCTTCGAGGTCGCTGCAGCGGGGTAGGCCTCAAGCGGCTGCCAAGGCGGACATCCGGAGTTACTTCGGAGGAGGCGCTTCCGGGCGCGGGCGGCAGGCCACTCCCTCAGCCACTGCAAATGCGGACAGCGACGCAAGCGGCAGCGACAGCGACAGCGACAGCGACAGCGACAGCGACGCGTTCTCGGACAATGGCGACCTCTCCCACGGCATGGGCATGGGAGCCGCCATGTCGGAGGCGCAAGCGGATGAAGCGGACGAAGCGTGGAGGCGCAGCCAGAGGCCTGGCGCTGAGCGTGGCGGTCTTGGAGCAGCGGCCACCTCGTCGTTCGCCCTCGCGCCTCGCGCTTCCGGTGGCAGCGATGGTTGCGACGCGGGCCCCTCCTTGTCGCAGGTGTCCTTCCAGTCTCTGAAGCTGGCGCAGCTCTCTCAGAGCGAAGTGATGGGCCGTGACGACATGCACTCGGACGGAACGAGGATGCGGCGCGCAACCCCTCACGCCATCGACATTCGGTGCGTGGCCCTCCACCTCGCCAGAGGGCTGGAACACTTGCACGCCCGCGGCTTGGCCCACCTGGATGTGAAGCCGCGCAACATCCTCGTCGGCTATTCAAGGCCGCTCTGCGACCGCGCAGGGCACTTCCTGCCGTTCGTCGCCGGCTTGACGGGACTGCCGTCCACCGATGCATTGGCGGGAGCCGGCAAGTCTGGCTCTGCCGCCCCAGTGTTCAAGCTTGCAGACCTCGGCCGGTGCGCCAGATGGAATGACGACCGATCGCGAGACGGAGACTCCGACTACATCGCTCCGGAGACCCTCAACCCGGTCCCCGGGCAGGACCGTCGGCCTGCCGACATTTTCGCGCTTGGTCTGATCATGCTGGAAATGCTCTCTGGTGAGCCCCTGCCACGCAGTGGCTCGGCCTACACTGCCCTGAGGAGAACCAAGAACGGGGCCGCTCTGGCGCTGCAGGCCGCTCGGGAGAGGTGGGAAGCGGACCACAGGAGCCAACCCTCCTCATTGGGGACGACGGCGAGCGTGCTTGGGATGTCACCTCGAGCACAAGGCCGCGCCTCTGGCGTGGAGGCTCGGGGGGCATGGCCGGGCGATTTGGCAGACGTCGCGGCAACCTGTCTGCGACTTGACCCGACAAGCCGTCCAACGGCCGCTCAGCTGGCATCGCACGGCGCGGTCGCCTGCGCTGGCCGACAACTGCGGCGACTGTTCCCTGAAGACCAAGCGCCTTGCCACGCGGCAGAATCGTCTGCTGGGCCGTCCACTCCGTGGCAGCCGCGGCATCTCGGCGCTGCAGAGGGGCCGGGCTCTCAGCGCGCGGTGTGGACAGACCGCACGATCGCCGGCCGGCAGTCCCTTGGGTCAGATTCGGTTGCCAGCTTCGAGAGCACAGCGGGCCGCCAAGCTAGAGGCGAGCCACGGTACTCGGCAAGCCTGGGTGGCTCACGCATCAGCTTTGCCGCTGCCGAAGCGTCATCGCCCTTCCCCGCATCCCCTGGAAGCGTGCAAGCGGGGCGCTCAGCGCCCGCCTCTCCAGCCGCAGCGCACGCACCTCGCCACCGGTCTGCGCTCCCACCGGCCGGCGTGCTGAAAAAAGTTGTGGACACGGCGGAGCATGCTGCGAAGGTGTGACTGCAATTTTTGCAAGCCTGAGACTGGCATCTGGCGCGTGCGCGAGCCCAAGCTAAATGACCTGCCCGAGCCTCGACAGCGCAAACAAAGACATTCGAAACTGCCGTGAAACCGCCGCTCTCGATCGAATGCCTTGCGCCCGGCTCCCGCACCTCCCCAACCGCCCGAAGCTGGCGAGGCCGGCGGGACCGGCCAGGCTTCAGCCAAGGGAATGCGAAACTTGCAAAGCCTCTCAGCCCCAAGGGCGCCGCAGACCAGCATGCGGGGCTTGCGAGGGGCAGTCGGGTTCGTCATGGCCTGGTGCGCGATGTCCGCAAACGCCGCCTCCGGCCCGCCCGAGCCGGTCTGCCCTGACTTCGCCCAAGGAAGCAGCCCCAGAGTTCAGGAAACGTGCGTTTTGGCCTCTGGAGACTGGAGCTTCGGCTCGCTCAGCATCGAC